GGCAATTTAACGTTATTAAAACAGCAAATAGCTTTTATAGGTGTGGTTAATTTTAAGGTTGACTTTCAAAAATGGCACTCTTTTCTAAACACAGAAGAAGCTCATTTCAATATCAAGCAGAAAAAAAACGAAGACATACGTTTTGTTTTTTTATTTTATTTTAAAAATCAACACAGTTAGAACTAACCGTGTGTCGCAAACATTTATAGATCAGTCCACCTGCTTGTTTTAACTATTCTCCTTTCTGCCTTATAGGTAAGCCATAGGGACAGACAGAAAATCTCAGATTTCCCACCTCATACACCTGCGTGACACGTTCATATTGACCCACAGTTGTGTGAAGCTGTAAAGTCTGAGTCTTTAATGAGGGTCTGTCCAGCTTTGGAGTGTGTTAGTGTGTGTTTGAACTGACCTGAACCTCCTCTCTGTGGGCAGAAGGTCAAAGGGGTGATAAAGTTGTGCGTGCATCAATCCTGCAGAGGGTCTGTGTAGCAAATAGTCAGCAAGAAGAGGTGAAAGAGGCTGATGGCAGTGAAGAGAACGTGGAAAATAAAGGTTTTCTACCACTTTTGTGTGAAAATGGTTTTAGGGTAAATGTAGAAGAGGGATGAATCATAAAACATTTAAATCAATAGCCCACATAGCAAGGAGGTCTGGCCCGGATCTGGTGTCAAACCGGCACAACACAGCTGGCTGACTTCTGGCATGATAAGACGTATGTCATCAGGATATGGGCCAGGTGGCATTGATGGCACTGTTTATGTGATGGCATGCCATATCTGGCTCGATTGTGGTTTGGTGTATGTGGCCCAGGCTCATAGAAAACAGGTCTGGCCCGGATCCGGCATCAAGCTAGCACTTCTGACTGACTGGTGTCATGGCAGAGTGTATGTCAGCCAGATGTGGACCAGGTCTGGCATGATGGCACTATTTATGTTCCTATTTTCCTATTTTAGTTAGAAGATCCAAATGCCATGTTGCAATACTATACTGCTATGGTAGCCAACGTTTCAAATGCAGGTTTGACAGGTTTGTTAGTGTACACTTTATCCAAAACCTGGTGACGGTTTACTCATTGTTACCAGTGGGTGGCTGTAGCTCAGGAGGTGGAGCAGGTCACCTACTGATCGGAAGGTTAGTGGTTCCGATCCCTGGTCTGCATGTCAAGACTGTGAATGTGTTTGAATGTAGTTAGGAAGCACTCAATTTAGAGAAAGTATGTGATTGGATGAATGTGGCATGTTGTATAGAGCACTTTGAGTAATCTGTTAGACTAGAACAGGGTTATATAAGAGTCAGTCCATTCACTGTCTGAACAGAGTTTTCTTATGTTACTTTTGCACTGTTTTGCGTGTTCTGGCACATGTTGTTATTACATGGCTTGATTAAGGTACACATTAGGCTGACATCTGGGGCCAGAGCTGAAACTGTTCTGGGCCAGCACAGGGCCAGCAATGTGTCTACAACTGGCCCGTGGCTGCACACAACTTACACATGGCCCACATAACGCAAAGAATGATGGCCCTTTGGTGGCCCAGATCAGATTTGCCAGATGTGGCCCACACATGGGCCAGCACAGGATCACCAGTGTGTCTGCAACTGGCCTTGTGCTGGCCCATGTGTGGGCCACATCTGGCAAACCTGATCTGGGCCACCAAAGGGCCGTCATTCTTTGCGGTATGTGGAGAAGGACAGTCTGTCTGCAGAGCTCGCTCAGCTTCAGAGAAAACTAAATTTGTGTGCACTCTGCCAAAAAGTACAGTGGACGACCTTATTCATGTTAGGACAGCCTGCCTAAACACTGTGTGAAAATCAACTTTTGAAACAGGATGCAAAGACAGCCAGACAGCAAATCAAACAGCTGATGGCCCAAATTTCACTGATGCGCACCAAGTTGGACTAATGTGAGATCCAAGCTGGAGAACTCACTGACGAAACAGTGTCACACAAAGTGCAAACGAGCAGCGCCACCAAAGAATAAGGGCTTGTTCAGATCAGGAAAAGACCAGCAACTTTGAGATGAGCCGTCTGAAAGAGCAGCTTCAGCAGAGGGACAGCGAAATCCTGATCCTGAAATGGGAGAAGGACAGTCTGTCTGCCGAGCTCGCGCAGCTTCAGAAACATGAGCCCTCTCTGAAACAAACTATGTGGAATGAGAAAACACAGAGAGGGAATCTGGAGCAGGAGAATTAAGTCCTGGAAGAGCAGAAAGTGGTGAAGGGCACAAAAGAAATGCAGAAAAAACTGGATGAGCAGAGGAAACAATTAGCGGAGGCTAAGACAGAGACAGAAGAGGCGGCAACCCCAGATTCCTCCTCATCAGAAAGCCTCAAGTTGTGTTAGAGCGCAGAGAAGAGCAGTCTCAAAACACCACCAACAACAGATAACCACGTGAAAAAGGCACTCAAAGAAGAGACAAAATATATTGAACTCGCAAAGAAAGTACGAAAAGGCAAGACAACAACTGAATGAAGCGCAGACAGCACTGTCGAAGGAGAAAAAATATTTTAAAGACACAGAGAAGCAAATTCAACAGTCAAAACAAGTGTGAGAAGAAGTGCCGATAGTATTTAAAGGTGAGGTCAATCAAATACTAGAGACAAAGGCTGAAATATTAGGACTGGGGAAAACACTGAAAGTGGGGGGAAAGTTGTGTGTCAACAGAGTTATTCAGTTGGTACAAAATGTCCTTAGAGAACATTGAACAACTCAGCCTGACAGTATACAATGAACTCCATGACAGGTGGCCTCCTCCAATACTCTTAATGAAGTCAAGTGACCCAATGGTTGATTAAGTATCATCAAAACCTTTAAAAAACATGCCAAATTTGTCACGGTTCTGGGTCCGTTGGACCCAGTATTTTGAGTTCATTATGTTTTGGTACTTTTGCATCATGGATTTTCCTTTATGTTTCTCTGGTACTTGGTGTTTCAGTTATCTTGGTGTTTTTCTATATTATGATTTATGATCTGATACTGTTGTGATTATGATTATCATTTAGTAGCCTTTGGTCAGTGTCAAGTCTGTCTCTGTCTAGTCTGTGTCTTAGTAAAGTGTGTTTTGTTTCCTGTTTTACTTTGAAGGTTCTTGTTCCTGTCTGATGTTAGTATGTGCAGCTTTGTTCCCCCTGTCTCGTTAGCCCTGATCTCTCCCAGCTGTGTCTCCCTCCTGTTGCCGATTTCCCCGTTACTACCCTGTGTATATAAGCCCTGTGTTTTCCCATGCTCAGTGTTGCGTTGTACCATCAGTTTATGCCTGTGTGTTCTTGGTCTCAGTGTTCCGTCCTCACTTTATGTTTGTTTTCCTGCCAGCAATAAAGCTGAGGTTTTTTGAGTTACATTCCATTTTCCGAGTCCTGCATTTGGATCCTCATCTCTGCCTGCCCGCACACAGAGCCTTGACAAAATTGAAGAGACAAAATATGATCACGCTAAAATTTAACTGACACGCGCACGCGATTATGTGACAAAACTCTTAAACTGGCTTAAAATATTAATTTAAATTGTGCATCTAAATTGAATTTTAAAACTAGAGTGGTTGAAAATAACCACTCTTCTTCTCCCATCTTCCTTTCCTCATCGCCAAGTGGCCATGGCAGATGCCACCCCGTCCTAGAGCCTGATTCTGCCGGAGGTTTCTCTCTTTTAAAAGGGAGTTTTTCCTTCCCACTGTCACCAAAGTGCTTGCTCTTAGGGGGTTGGAGTTTTTGTGTATTTTTGTAGGGTCTTGACCTTACAATATAAAGCACAATATAAAGGAAGTGTTGTTGTTGTTTGGCGCTGTTTCTTAACTTAAAATGTCCAATTACAACAGGACATTTTAAGTTAAGAAATAGCGCCAAACCACAAAATTAAATTAAATTAAATGAAAAAAGCTTTGAATTTGTGCTTCGTTTCATTTGCTATAAATTTGCTAAAAATGTAATATCAGATTAGAATAGTGTGTCTCAATATAATGTATCATTGGTCTACAGGATGATGCTGTGATACATGATACATTTGAAGTAGATGTCATAGTAATGTCTTTCTGTATGTGTGAACAAACCAGTGGTGAAAAGACACCAGAGATACGCAAAGAATAACTGATGTTTGAGGTTAGCTGGTTAGATTCGTCTAGATATTCTACTTTCTGTGTTCTATTGGAAAGGACCGATTGTATGCTTTGCTAACAACTGCAAATGTGACAAATGTGTTACAATAACTATGTGTGTTGTTTTAGCAGCAATAATATTAAATGAAAAAACGCTGAGAATGACTAGTAGTAGGTGACACTGAATGCTTGCCGTGTGATGAACTGTTACTACCATTGATTGTGTGTTTTCTACCATAAACTGAGAAGCTACACTTTGTATATTCACCAGAATAGAGGAAATAAAGTACCCAGCGTTCAAAATTCTCCTAAACTCAATTTAACCTGTCCATGGTGCTCAAAAAGACGTTTACTCCCATGGATGACTCTTATTCAGAAAAATCTTTTAGTGATCATCAGTTTCTTTGGCTGAAGAGACTGAAAGGTTCCCTGGAAAGCAGTTTCAAACTGCTTTAGAGGTCCTGCAGGATATTGGGATGAAGCGGTGCTCTGGAGATACAAGGGAAAAGACAGATGTGGAAACAGCTGAATCAAAGAGCCATTAGTGCTCTGATTGCACTAATAGTTATAGCTTGTGGTCAGCTAATTCAAAAATGGAATCCAAAAAGCATTTGTATCTCTTAAAGTGCAACCGAGATGCAGATAAAATGTGAATCCTTAGAAGAGCGACAAAGTTTTGTCTTCTGTTGGAGGTAGAGCCTTTTCTCTAATGTGTTTCCTTTCAAATCTTAAAAAAAAGAAAAAGAAAAAAGGAAAGAGGAAACAGGATGAATAGACGAAAGAGGGTTGTGTGTGGAATTTGTTAGGAGGGAGAAAGGGAGGGGTGGTGGTTTGTTATATTGCTTAATCCGGGCAGCACGGTATCACACACTAACACCATCTGTCACCATTTACATAGGAGTCAGCTACCGAACTGGGCTGCTGGGTACTGACGGGCACCGGGCGGCTGCTGGAGGGGAAGTCTGTGTCAGTGAGGTGGTTACGCCCGTGGTCTGTGTACAAACCGTCGGGGTGTGCGTGTGTGTGTAGGGGTGGGGGGTGAGTGTTACTGATTTGGCATCGGCAGCAATCCGATGTGCGCTCAGTGAGGAGGATGCTGAGGAAGGAGAGGCAGGGCGAGACACAGTGATGCGGTGACACATGGCTGCCTGCCGGTGCACTTAGACTGCGGCTCACACTTCCATTCACCGAAAAATAGGAGAGGCTGGACTCCGGGTTGCCTAGAGACGCTGCTCGGAGGCTGGAGGCTGCCGCAACCGACAAACGAGCTGTGGAAGCCCCGCACACTGCTGATCGGACAGCCTGCTGATCCCTTTGGTAAGCCCAATTTTGGCTCCACCTGGCAGTACCTGCAGCATTTTAGCATCGCAGCTGCTGTTGCTAATATAACGACCTGCTGTTTGGGCTACCACAGTAATGCCAGTGTAGCAACAATTGTTCTCCTTTTCCATTCAGACGTCTCATTGCGCAAACTTAAGCGTCACACTTGGTTCCAAAGAAGGTGTATTACTCATGGCATTATTTATTAATCTCTCAATTTAACAACAGTCCAAGGTGACATTCATTAAAGTTTTTTTTACCCTCGGATGTTAAATGCAATACTTCGTGTTTGTAAAACTTGATTTTGAACGTGTTCAATTTGTTTGTGCTCTATTTCTAACTTTCAGCTGAAGTTACATTCAGTATTCTTTTGGTCTGTGCGATGCAAAGCAAAATATATTTCTGGGGAATAACAGAAACAGCAGTGAAGAATATGCCTTTAAAAGTACTCAAGGAAACCGAGACTGAATGAAAAACGAGGACTTTTAATGTAAAATGAGTAACTCCAAGCTTTAAACGTCATTTTGTGTGAATCAAAATAACTTTTAAAGGGTAGCTTTGCATGCTTTTTTAATTTCGATTAATAAAGGCATGTTGTCCTGTGGCTTCTTTTGTATGTCAATGGCATTAGACAAAACATAAATACACTACTCGATCCTTTTAATGATTACATTCCATTTACATATTATTTCATGTCACTTTAGTGTGGTTTAAAACAATATTTCTGTAAGGCGATTTTTTATTTCCACTATATTGGCTCTACAGCGTACTGAGATATTTGGCCTTGCCGAGCCGCCGTAGAGATGGGAGATAACATGTCCAAGCGACTGAAGCTGATCTCGGCTACAGACGCAGAGATGGAGGAGCGCTCTTTTTCAAACCCATATCCCGACTGGGACCAAGGAGTCCTCACCTCCAACTCTGGAGCGGATGTAGTTTGCAATGACTCCCTTGATTCGGAAGGAAAGGTGAGATGTTTTCCCTCACTTTGGTTTTCACATCTGCTAACAGAAAGTAAAGCTAGCGTAGCCCAGGCTTGTTGTTGATACTACGGGACTGTTACGGTGTGGGAGGGGTTCGTTTATGTTAGCGCATATAATTTCTTAGCTGTGGTTTGCGTCTGTCATCAGTCTAAATGCAATAATATTACAAAGCTAGTCACGTTTTGTCAAAGTAAGTAAAAAATACAGTTGTTTTTTGTTTGTTTTTTTTAGTTTCCGCGTCTGGGTCCTCTGGGTACACATATTACAGTACAGTAATAATCGGTGAAGCTGGTGTTATGGTCTGAAATGACAGTCAGATCTTGGAGGTTTCTTTCACATAAACAAAAAATAAATAAATCTGCAATTAAATTCCACATATTTTTTCCCACTGACAGGTATGCTTCACCAAATATAATCGTATCGTAAGTTTGGTAGTCAAAGTCTAATTTTAGGCTGTTTTTGAATCCTGCAAGTGAAAGTAACTAATTTTTTCATTGGCTCATATGAAGATGGTTTTACCCAACAAAATAACTCATCTCCAGTGTTTTTAGGAAGGTCATAGAACAGAATATAGAACATTCAACGTTACGTCGTCTGTTTTTAAGTTATTCAAGTTAATATCTTTACATCTTTATACATTTTATTAAATTTATACCTTTAATATAATTTACATCTGCACTCTTATTCCTGTCTTTTAAAAACAAGAAAAATATTAAGAGTTTGGAGTTGGTTACAAAAAGAGAGAGAGAGGAGCTTCGGAAAATACCTGGATTTCAATTTTCTGGTCGTCAATGAATTTTCAAGAAGGCTCGTTTGCTGTTATGTTGAGCTTTTTGTATTTTCACACAAAGCTTGGCTGCTGTAAATGTTACAGACATATAGTTGACCTGTTATAACACATTTCTCTCTCTGTATTTTGCATCTGTAATGTTGTTGTATTATTTCGCAACCATGTCATGAATTCAGTAAGACTTATTAGATACCCAAAGACTGCCCAAAGACTTTATGATTCTGTGAAACAGAATTTAACAGCTCCAGAAGATCAAGAACGTAGCAACTTATCAATTTGTTGCGGTAATTGTGAAACTATGTTCAGAATATGTGCATGAACATACTCGCACAGGATTGGCTGAGACGCTGTACACAGCCGTTTGCTGACTGGCAGTGCCTGAAATTAGATGGAAAGCTCAGGAGCTAACACTATAGCACTGTATAATTGTTGGCTGTTGAGGTATATCAGCAGCCCCCCTTCTTTTCTTTTATTGTATTGAAAGTTTATTCGCCAAATCAATACAAATCACAACAACAGTCTCCAAGGCGACTGTTGTTGTGATTTGGCCTTATATAAATAAAAGTGAATTGAATTGAATATTCACTGCTAACACCAGGTGCACTCGCTCCTTGTGTTTCCTACCTTTACTCATGTTGTGGTCCATGATATCATTCAGCTGTCTCCTCAGTAAGTATTTTGACCCACAATAAGACAAAAATTCAAGTCCAGCATCGTGGACTGCAGCAGTTGGAATGCGCTTCGTGTTCATTGAAATTCAACAACAGGAAGAAGCTCATCAGGCAGGCTTAAATATGCTCAAGTATTTTTTTTGAATTTAATGGCATTTGCCAAAAAATCTCCAGATATAGAAATTTACAAATATTTGCTAAAGTGGATCCATTACAGATGTTTGCTAATGAATTGTAAACACTGTTATATTGTGTTGAAGTCAGAGCTGTAGATTTTTGTGTCACCGTCATTAAAGGCCTCATTCTCCTCTTTGGCTGTTCTGAAGATTTCATTGTTATGCAGAACAGCACCATCTATTCATGTGTCTGTCACTGTGTTCTTTTCCTTCACCATCGAGCTCCTCGTCGAACTGTTGCAGAGCAGAGAGAACAGACAGCCTTGGTCACAGTTCTCTCTGGTCAGGCTCTGACGCTCAAAGCCTCACCAAATATTGACTTTCAATCTTTTTTGTTGCTCTTAAATGACTCAGTTCATCAAACAAATTTAAATGTTAGACAAAGATAACACGAATAAACATAAAATATAGTTTCTAAATGAAGGTGTTTGTTATTAAGGGGGGAAAAATCCAAACCTACATGGCCTTGTGTGAAAAAGCAGTTTGATTCAGAATTTTGCCCTGCCCTACTTTTCAGCGCATTCACGCTGTAGGTGATTCTGTGTGAATGGATTCTGTAGAGAATTAGTTCATTTCACATCCACAAGCAAATCAGCCTTTAAAGCATGGCCTGACCCATGATGTTAAATTAGTAAAAAATTGGGCCTTGTGGAAAACAACCTAATTAACATTTGCTTAAATGATTCCTAATGATAAGAAGATTGGACCATGAACTTATATCTGAGCATTTATTAGATTTGCCACTGCTGCTATTAGCAGATCACATATAGACATTGAGCTTGCTCAACCTATGTGGATGAAAACATTAGATATTGTTCTAATCCTGACTTGGGAAACTGAATTGGGTGTTTGTGATCGATTCGACTTGGTGTCAACAGCAGAGAAAGGAGAAAATGGCACGACTGTGAGCATATTCAAAATAAAAAGTTACTCATCTGAAATGAAACTAAGCTGAACAACATACTGGTATTTTTTCACTTCTCATTTTATTTATTTTACCAAGACATTCAAATTCAGTAAATGTAAATGTATGATCTTGGTACATTTATTTGTTCCATTTTCTTTTACAGCATCAGGAAAGCAATGTTTATGTCCAGCCTAATGTTTCTTTACTGTCCCAGTCTCTGCGATTCGTATCAAATCAGTACTCAGCAAAAGCCGATACCCATACATTTATGTCCTTGACTCAAGACAGCCTAACTCATTCATTGCTGTGTATAAACAAGCTTAAATATGATTCTGTCTCCCAGTGCATGTTACTTAACTTCCTGCTGCTCCCTCCCTCCTCTGTTGTTCCATCTGTGCTACCACAGAATCAGCATTTAGCTTTATAGCTGATGGATAGTGCAGCTCTTGAGTCTGACAACTTGGAGTTTATAAATGTATTCTCTCTTCAGGTTAGCACATCCTTTCAGAAGAAGGTCCAGAGTAAGATCAAAGATCTCCTCCAGCAGATGGAGGAAGGCCTAAAGACAGCCGACCCCCATGACTTCTCCACCTACACCGGCTGGACAGGTGTGTCCCTGACTACTCTAAAAATGTGAAGAGAGCACAGTTCTGTTATCCATCCACCCAAAAATATTCTCTATTTTATACGCTTAGGTCCATAAGTATTTGGACAACGACAAACACTAATGTTCTCTCTGTACACAATTAATAGATATTAAATTAACAGTTAACACTGAACTGAAATGCAGACCTTGAACTTTGATTTAGGGATTTAACAAAAGTATTGCAATAAAGGAATTGCAGATATTTTTTGTACATAGTCCCCCATTTACAGAGAAAAGTTTAGAGGTTTAGTCTAAAGTTCAAATTAATAATGACACAAAATATGTTTCAAAAGCAACCCAAGAGTTTATTAAGGCAAATAAAAAAAATCAGTAATTACCAGATGTAAATCATTGACCTTATCTATGGTTTACATGATTTACAGTAGAGAGAGCGTTTTAGTTAATGAAGATAAAACTGGAGCCAGAGAGAGGATGTGCTGCAGTGTTTGGTGGCACGTTTGGTGATTTCTAGACTTCGGGCAGTCACTGGCTGCAAAAAAAAATAAAATCATCCAAGCGTTAAGAACAGGGCTTACATTTGTCCTGTAACTGAAAATTAGGGACTACGTACAAAAATGTCTGTGGTTAGTGGAATACATCTGAATTAAAACTCAAAGTTGCTACTCAGTCACATCTAGACTGTTTGATTTAAAATCCACAGTGGTGGTGTGCAGTCATTGTCCAAATACTTATAGACCTAACTGTGTCTTTTCTTTTCACTGCAGGCATTGCATTGCTGTACCTTCAACTGCACCGGGTCTCAAATGAGGCCTCCTACCTGCATAGAGCCCTAGACTACGTAAAGAGGACCATGAGGATCCTGAATGGGCGCAAAGTGACATTTCTATGTGGTGACGCGGGGCCTCTGGCAGTGGGTGCGGTGGTCCACCACAAACTGAATAACACGACTGACAGCAAAGAGTGTCTGTCCAGGTTAGACGGATTGCTTGAGATGCTCGATCTTTATCTGAAAGAGTAGCAGAGTCTCTGGTGAAATCGTACTGCTACTGTGCACTATATAAACCCCATATATACAATGAAGATTTAGTCAGTGACATAAGTGTAATTTGGCATCCATACAGACAGGATAGCTTTCCCAGCCCCATGTAGGCTTTGATGGTAGGCTATTTCCAGTTTTGCTTTGGAGTGTGTTTGTTTTTGGGTCACCCCACTGGGCGGGCAGTGTGAACAAGCAAGTTTGTGAAGGCAATGACTTCAGAACGAAGCAATAAAGAAGCAATGGAAGCTGCCAGTATTTTTTTTTTAATTGACAGCACATTCCCTGAAAGGCCCGTGTGGTAGAAAGGACCTGAAGCCCACAGTGTTATGGACACCTGACTGACTTTATTTACGATTTGTTTCTTACTCATGCAGCTGCTCTTCCAGCTGCCTCATTCCATGCGGCACAGCTCTCCCATCAGGTCCCAGTATCCTACTGAAGTAGGGCAGGCATGGTCAGGTGATGGAGAACAGCTTTGTGGGCCAGCCTCCCCTGACACAACAACCTGAACCTACTTCTTTACTCCTGCCACCTCATACCCCCATTGCCCGACTCAGGGCGCCATCCAGCTTAGCCTTTGAAGAGGGAGTCGACCCTCCTCAGGCACTCCTTCTCCATCGTGCTGTACTTGGCCTCCTGTTCCGTTTCCTGGTGATGTATACAACTGGGCGGTCGGGCCCTTCTTTACCTACTGGGACAAAACTACCCCCAGCTCTCCGTTTGAAGCTGAATAAAAGGGAGAGACAAGTTAGGAGTGTGAAGCAGGGGTTTGTTTATCTGTACGACCACCCCCTCGCACTGCTATAGCCACTGGACCAGTTCTGGGGCTTCCTTTCGGGTGAGATCAATCAAGGAAATGATCGGGTCCACAAAGCCAGGCACAAACTGATGGTAGTAACCAGCCAGCCCCAAGAACTGTCTCACCAGGATACGATGGCTATTTTTTGAGGCGGAAATGTTGGAATTTGGCACCTCCAGCCCCAACTCATCTCTTTTGTTCACCAGGCTCACCATTGTAGCAGTTTCAGCCTCTCTCCATGCTTGGAGGAGTTTGAGGTGATATATCTGTGGGGCTCCTCCCCTGTCTGATTGTACCACCTCATAGTCAGCGTCCCCCGCTCACCGCGAAGGAGGGAGTGATACAAGCCCTTTATCTGCTGGTGGAAATTGAGTCTAGCCCTTCTGTTGCACAAGTGGTGCGACTGTTGTTGTGATTTGGCACTGTAATAAAATTGAATTGACTTGAATTAAGGGATGCGTCAGGCATGGGATTTTTGCGTATGTCCGCATGCACACACGACAGTTGATACTCCGCTAGTGTCACTGCTGCCTCCAATCTTGTGGGCTGGTGGCGACGCATCCACTCTGCCATTCTGGCTGGGAGCCCCTTCACAAACTGCTTAAGCACCAACCGCCTCCACCAGGCGCTCCTTCCCCTCCTCAGGGCTGGGCCACAGCCACCTGGACACCGTGTCACTGCCTGGCATAGGCGAACGGCTAGTCATCCGATCCCCTATGAAGCTTTGATGGTGGTCCTCCAAGGCGAGCTTCATCCGATCTACAATTATATGCCGGACATCCACAAAATGGCCCCGTGCCGTCGCAGGCAAGCTGAGAGCCGCCAGCTGAGCCTCCCCCCACGGTCTTGGTCATGGCATGAAAAACCTCCAAGAAGGCTAAATCTTAACTGCACTTAGGATATTTCATCTTTGATCGTATGCTCACATTGGAGAGCTATGTTGAAATTGTAATCCTGAGGTAAAATCCGATATCATGGATACTAGAAGACCACCAAGATAAAATAATGAGTGTGTCAGTAAGAATAATACGGGGTTTTTAAAATTCCTCAACCAGTGTATTAATCCACATTTGCTGGTGCTGTGAGGAGCTGCAGTATTTGCGGTCAGGATAGTGAATGAATATTATCCCCCATGGCTCAGGTGGAAAACAAATCTGTGCTTGATCCGTACCCCAGCCTCATGCAGTGATTGTTGTGTTTCTCCATCAGGCTTCTTCAGCTTCAGCGGTCTGTGCTGAGCCCAGACTCTGATATACCAGATGAGCTGCTGTATGGTCGTGCTGGATACCTTTATGCTTTGCTGTACGTTAACAAAGAGATCGGCACTGACGCTGTGGATGAGGACACCATTACAAAGGTGAGACTTGCACATGTCATATGTGCTTTTTCAGATTAATAATGATAAAGACATGTCTGACAATGTTATGTCACGTTGTTTGTTAACATTCTCCATGTTTTGCGAGGGTATTCTGCTCGTGTATGGTGTTGTAAGCAACACTGTACTGAAGTGTTCAGCCCTGAATTGGCTCATTGTCACCAATATCTGATCCAGCTTTTTGAGGGAGGATAGGATTCATATTAATGCTCCAGATACCTGATCTATGCAAATCAGGATAAATTCCTTATTTGTCCTTAAACTTCATTTTGAGACAGAAATCTTCATAATGCTGCATTTTGTTTACGCCACATAAACGTAGTCACCATGCTGTCACTTAGGTCGCACACAACCCTTTAGTTACTGGCCTGTTGAATTTTTGGAGCCACAAGTAACCATAGTTAGACTGAAAGGTGAAGTACTGAGTTATCAGTTTGACCAGTGATGTACCAACACCTGTAGAATTAAATGATTCCCAACAGAGGGTTTAATACCAGAACAAAAATGGTCAACTCAATTACTTCAACTCCTTTAATAAAAGTTGCTTTAAAACACTGACACCGTAGCAGATCATTCAAATCGTAGTGTGACAAGACTGATACTGAAGTGTTAGGATAGTTGCAGAGTAGCCTAGTATTGTTGCCGTTACATTAAGTTAGTATAAGTATTTAATGACAGCCATGCCACCTTTTACTCTATGCAACAAAGGTGATGTCTCAAACAAAGTGGTGAGGTGCAGTTCAGGATAAGGTAAAAATAATAATACTTTGGAAGTTGTTCCTGACTCTGACCTTCTTATTAGCAAAGACTTCTTGGAGAGGGTTGGCAGTGGACGGTATCAGAGCACAGAGGACATGGGACCCAAAAACACAACATGCAAACTCAAACACACTGTGACTAATAATCTCTCATATTTTTTGGTTATTTATTTAGGAACACACAGTCACTGCAGGACCAGCTGTCACCATTTGGTGTAGCGCCAGACTGAAATACATATACTGTGCCCGATTTCTCACTCGCTTTCTTACAAATACACACACAAAGTGAGGAAAGGGGTGAGAGAGTGGGCAGTAGCGGACGCACACAAGCTATCGTTGTTTTCAGAACCGGTAGATAAAAGTACTTTCATGGCCAAATAAGGAATAGAAATCGGATGCCCCAAAGCACCCAGTTTCCTGCAGTGCTGCACTGCTGTTCATCTCATTGTCAGCTGTGCTCGTATACCTGTCACCACACAACAACACTCAGCACTCTGGAGGCTTTACCAAACAGTGGCTCTCCTCCAGGACCCGCTTTATAGATGCTTTTATTTCTTTTTCTCATGCTCAGATCTTTGCTCTCTGTTTTCAATCTTGTTCTGCTGCATTGTTGTCTCTGTGTGTATCAGTTATTAGAGAGATCTCTGTGGTTTGCTAGTTATGCGTTTTTTCCCCTTACTGATTCCCTGAGTAAATGTGTGTGTGTGTGTGTGAGCAAGCATGTATTCATATCTTTGTGGGGACCAAAGTTCAAAGTTTACTATACTTGTGTGGACCAGCAGCCCTTATGGGGACCAGAATCCTGGTCCCCACAAGTTTGAAGGCATTTTTAAGACTCAAAATGTGTTTTTAGTGACAGGGTTACAGTTGGGTTATGGTAAGGGTTAGGCATTCATTTTTCTGGGTTAGGGTAAGCAGCTAGGGAAAGCATTATGTCCCCACAAGATATGAATACCCAACAGTGTGCATGTGTTTGTGTTTCAAATGCCAGCCTGTCAGGGTTTTCTGTTCTTTATAGTGCGATGTTAAAATAATTTAAATTACAAGATGGGTTGAGAACCCTGTTAGAGTAGCAGTGGTAAATTATTAAGCTAAACCAGTCAGTCGTAAGGTCAGCTCCATAATAGGAAGGATTCTGCCACAGGGAAATGGACAGCTGCAGACATGACACACATGAGTGGTATAGATCTTCATGGAGCTTCATAGATCTGTGTAATGTATAACACATTCCCTGTGTAATGAACAGGGGATGTAAATCTGTCCTGCCATGATGGAGGCAGTGCTGCTGCTGCAGAACTGTTTTTCTTCACTCTGTCTTGCTTGGGGACATGATATACTGCTGACTCAGAACCCCGAGCCCCTTCAGTTCCACATATAGGCTACTGTGTATTACTGCATATATCTAAGCAGAATGTCCAGAAAACATGACTATAGAAAAACACAGTAGCTTGTCAAATATCCTCAGCACAATTTTGGGATGTGATTATTACCATGAGGAGAAATCGTCATCTCTAAGCAGTTTAGACCATTTGTGTTGGTGCAGCTTGGTGCAGGCATTTGAATATTACGATGGTTATGATAAAGCTGCAATTTTGAACTGTGAAGTTTGAGTACAAGCTCCAGGTTCCTTCCCCATGCTTTTTTGCTGTTTTCGTCCTATCAAGCAGAAGTGTAGCTAACTTGGGATCCATCTTCAATTCTAAATATGGAAGCGCTTCCCTGAAAAACACATCATCTGGATGGGATCCACTACAGAGGATGTTGTGTCCATGTTTTCAAAAAGAACTTCAGATTTGGGATTGTTGTCTACTTTGTCTCAGTCCATTTTAAATGAGCTTTGGCCCCGAGGAGGTGGCTGTGTTTCTGTGTTTCATACACAATGGAGTGATCTCCATGACAGGATCATGCTTGTTTTTAGGCAGACCACCTGAAGTTCCAGAGATCGCAAGCAACCAGTACTGATTTCAGCCTCCTCTGCAGAAATGTTGCTGTTTTGATGATATTATGCACCGTAGCTACTGACATATTCAGTCTTCACAGTTTTATGTTGAGGAACATAAACAATAAGTCCCAGTTGTCTCAGTTTAAACATTTGATATGGTTTCTATGTTTGGTAGTGAATTAAACAAGGCTTTATGAGCTTTGCAAATCACAGCATGCTGTTTTAAATTGTAACTCTTCCTCTGCCAGGGTGTCCAGACGTAAAAAAAAAGAGCCAGTACACCTAAAGGTGGAAGATTAACACATAGGTGTTCATGTTAGTGTAAATGTGTCTTCTCTCCTTTAAAGAAAGTAAACAGAAACATATCTGAGGCTGATCGAGCAGCCACGTGTCATCCTAATCACCTGCTCGACCAATCAGTGGAAGACAAACTTCTGCTCCTTCCACATGGCAACGCCTCAGTTTAATCCAGGTTGTTTGGCTTTGGAGAAAGTGTTCCAGCTTATAGCTGTTCCTAAATGGAAGAGCATAAAGAAATCCCTCGTATAACACCCTGCTGCACATAAAGCTTAGTAGCTGGTGTGCAGCAGTCTCATTGAATTTAAATCCCTCAACCTCTTAATCTAACCCAGATTTAATGTTATGGATAATTCTTTAGCTCTCAGAGGTTTGTGTCATATTAGTGAGCTGATAAATGATGTTGTCTTTCTGTTCAGAAGGAAGTATTTGCAGACAAGACATAAGATGCAACACCCACAGTCATAATGTCAGGCATGCAATGTTGTTGTCATAGACACACTGAGAGCGGTGGCCAGAATTAGTTATACAAGCATAGTTAGATGAAATATTCCAGGGTTTCTGATTGTGTAGTGTAACTGACACCACTAACGCACAAACGCACGTTTCCAAAAAAGTGATCCTAATATTCTAAAATAAGAAGCTAACAAAGGCTTGTTGTGTTCTATGATTTTCTATTTTCAGACTGTGATTTTTATTCTTTTATTCTCTCTTTTCTCTTGACAAGACACTCTGACAAGAAATAGCAGTAAAAAGCTTCCTGTCATCGGAATCATTTAGCCATCCATTGCCCATCCTCATCTGTGCCCTGTAGGCTGATGTGTGTGTCGTTTTGTATGTCTGTCTGCTTTTTGCTTGTCCTATTTAAAGTATTATTTTGTGTTATGTTTTATTGTGATGAAAGATTGTCCTATGTGCATCAAATGATTTTAAATGGATCCGTACTTTATTGTGAAGGAGGCTAATCGTCTAATAAAAGGGAATTTTGTTAAGTGACGTGAGATGGTTGTTGTAAATTGGCACAGTGTAAATTAGACCACATTTATCTAGATTTTTATCATATGGGAGGCTCTGTGATCAAAGCATTTAAAATCGAGAGAATTTAGTCATGTTTGTTTCCTACGTTTGATTAGAAATGAAGATGAGAGGTTTGCCTGAAGTTTAACCTGCCTACCATCTCACATAGGAGACATGTAAAAATTTTCCAACTGACGACAGGTGATATATCCACGCAGGTGACCCTTTGATGGGCGGAGCAATGTGATCATCCACAGACTGATTTGCGGGTTTAGAATTTATACCGTTTTTTTGGAGGGAATATTTGAGCTTCTTGTCTTGTTTGTTTCATTATTAATATAGCTACTTTTTGTGGATTAATCATTTATTTATTTGAGATGTGCCAAATCGCACAAAAAACAACATTACATCAGAGTTTTTCTTTTGTTTTGTTTTGGGGTTTTTAACGTTCGCTGGAAGAGAAAGTTTGATTTTAAACTTACTTTTTGTTCAATTATGTATTTGTTGTTTTGTCGAGTGTTTAAGACAGATAAACACTGGAACAGCCTGTAAACACGGTGGGAAAAAGAAGCCAGTGTCTCTGTTTCCCTCCCCACCATTATTTTTTTAAATTTATTTTATTTAAATAAAATGTTTTCGTTTTTTCCTGAATGTAGGCTGCTGCCTTTCTTTCTTTCTGTTATGAGTTTGAGAAAACAAATCGCTGCACTGTGAGGAGGGTGTCATTAAAACAGCGCTATTATTTTTCCGTTGACCACTTCTCTTTCTTCAACCAACATTATTAGCAAACTTACCCAGGGGCAAAAAAATGAATCACTCTTGTAAAAACGATCGGTAAAAGGCTCAGCCTATCGTTCATAGTCGATACATTCATCCAGTCGCCTACTGTGCCCTCTCTCTGCCGTCGTTCTATCCATGAGGCTGTCAGACAAATAATAAAGCAAAAGTATAGTTTTGCACCAGTAGAAATGGTGTCTCCCAGGTCATGTTGTTCTTATAGTTTTATAATGAAACTGTAGGTTTCTCACTTTGTCATTTTGAACTGAATGCTAACACTCCACTCTCTCAGCTCTGTAGTAAAGATGTTATATCAGTTTCTGCCAAACTGTGTGTTTGGATTCAAATGTGAGCTCAAAGGTTCCTTTATTTTTCCCACTCTTTCTCTCTCCAAACGTCAGGTGGTCACAGCCATTGTGGAATCTGGTAAGAACATGTCAGCAGAGCAGAAGAAGACTGATCGCTGTCCACTCCTCTATGAGTGGCACAAGAAGCAGTACATCGGCGCTGCCCACGGCCTGGCCGGCATCTATTACATGCTGATGCAGGTAGGAGAAAACAGAACGCGGTCTGTTTAAAGTCAGTGGGTTTTTAAAAACGAAAGATTATTTTATTCCTCTATATAAATAAGTTCGAAAGTATTGCTAAAGCTAATGTTATCTGTCATGTAGTTATTTATGGAGAAACACTCGAAGCTTCTGATCTTCTGGTTGATGATGCACAATAAATTGTGTCATTTTGCTACATCAGAGAAATGAAAGTATTTCTTATTGATGTTTTTTTCCAAATAGACTGACTTTCATTCTAGAGTAACATTTAATATCACTTGTATATAAGATCACGCATTTATATACTGTAGCCACAAACACACACGCATAAATGCACAAAGTGACATCCATGTAAGTGAATCCAGGTAATGTGCTTGCAGTGTCAGCGTTGTTGAATCTGTATTTTTGCTGACAGCTCTCGCCTGCAGCCCGTGCTGCAAGCCACCTGCCACCTTCTTTGTGAGCACTGCAATCTAATTATTGAGGAAAAAACAATGAAGAGAGGCCAGAGACTGGATCCAGATTTCTCTGTACTCATTTTTTATGTATATGTTTACTGAAAAAAATATATAATAAAAGCACCAAGTATGAATTTTACTTTACCTGAAAGAATGAAGGATTATTAGCTGGAGGATTATGTTTTCCTTAGTGCTGTTATATCAGAATGGGCTGAAATCTGTTATTGATTATAGATTTGGGCAGATAGACTCTTTATCAGTATTCGGCATTTGGAAGAAGAACTGTTTGATTAGTGGTGTTGGCAATCAGTAAGTCATTGATTTAAGGTTTGCTTAATGTCTGTTGTTTCTTACTGTTCTGGGCTTAAAGCCAGTAGAGGAGCTGAGACTTTCTGCAGGCAGACATCCTGTAAGTGTTGTTGGCGGCTAAGATGAAGCAGTTTTGTGTGAAATCCTGCCGAAGCATGGCCTACAAAGAACGACCAAAGTGTTCCCACTGTGCATTCAAATGCTACTGGGTATTGTTAGCAGCTAGAAATGTGTTTTAGATATATTCATATATGCACGCATGTCAAATTCATGGTCACAGAAGGACTCGAGCTTATCCCAGCTGTCACATGCATACAGTATATTACTGTGTGCATGTACCATTATGGGAAAAGTCATCATTTATCAATTTTCAAGCAATGTAATTCTGAAAATAGTCACAACAAATACATTACTTAACAGGGCAGCCACACTCCTCAGTTCAGATGTGTCTTGAGATTGTATTGTGTGTGTGTGTGTGTGTATGGGCTATAAATGCTTACTTAAACCTTGACTTATTAGGCTTATTAGACTTATTAGACTTATTAGACTTATTAGACTTATTAGACATTGGCAGTCAGAAGTTTAAAGTAACCTAATGAAACATGTTTGACCAGAAGACAAGAATTCATACTCTAATTATGATAAAAGTTGACACTAATGTCAGCACAATAAAAGGTCAAAGATACAGATAAGGTCTGGACCGTAGAGAGACATGAGCGACCAGCCAGGGACTGGAATCACATGATTTTCAGCATTTCTGGTGCTGGCCAGGGATTGGCACACACCGACAAAAAGTCGTACGCACCCCGACGGCCGCACACTAACATGTCCTTGTAGTGAAGGTATAAACTGTTCCAGCTAGTTATATAAATCTATTGGACGTGCTGTTGTTTGAAAATTCATTGCTGTACACTCACCTTTACCTCAAATTGTTTCCCTTACAATGTAATTGTTTGTACCTGTGGGGTGCCAGTTTAGCTCAAGGGGTGAGCCATGTGCCGTTTGGCAGGGGAGCAGCGCTTTGCCCCCCTCTCCCTCTTCCAGTTTTTCTGTCACTCTTTGCTTTCACTGTCAGATAAAGGCAAAACATTTCATATGGCCAAAATAAATCAGAAAAAACTGTAAGTAGCAAAATCTGACTGAGTAAGAATACAAAAAGATGGGTGGCAACACAGCAGATCGCCATGGCAACAAAGATGATTCCATTATTCATCTTGTGATTTATAACAATAGCAAAAGCCTGATTTAAAGTAGCTCACTGAAATCTGTCCACAGACTTTTGTGTTTTCTCTGCTGTTCACTGATGTTCTCATTAACACATGAGAATCCATCTTTCTCTGTATGAATAATTCATGACTGTAGCAATCAAAGTATGTGTTGAGTCCGTTTAGATCTTATAAACATCTGCTCTGAAACATCTGCTCTGAAAAGCTGTGTTTCACCAGCTTTTCTGCTGCCATTAGGAAAGGTGATAGTCACCTCCTTTTGGGGCATTTAAAGAGAATTCTGTAAATGTAGAGCTGAACAGTACAATTGAAATTAAACACTGTCCCTTTCAGTCTGGAGCAAAAGTCCATCCAGACATCCTGTCAGAGTTGGTTCGCCCCAGCATCGACTACGTCCGCCACAAGAGGTTTCGTTCAGGAAACTTCCCTTCATCCCTGAGCAACGAGAGCGACCGGCTGGTCCACTGGTGCCACGGAGCGCCCGGTGTTATCCATATGCTTATCATGGCCCATAAGGTGAGAGTTCTGCGGTCAGCAGCCACCCTCTCTGTCTAACACGCACAAACAACACTGTCACCTTGTGGCACAGCTCTACACTGCATGAACAGTTTATTGTGTTAAACATATTTGTGAAGCATGTATTATTTGACACGTCAAAGAAAAATCATGTTGTTGATGGGATGTTGTTTCGCCTGGTGTCTAACACTTTGGCTAATTTCGTTTTTTTTCTTTGTCCATTAGGAAGCTACATCACAGCCAACATGCTGCCATTCTGGCATTTTGCTCTTACTAATGAGACTCTGCTTTTTATTTTTTGCTGTTGTTTTGGCACAGTGAACAAAGCACTGCACTTAACAATGTTCCGCTATTAACAGAACACAACAACTGTGCCGTTTGTGTCACGCGTTTAAACATTTAAACTGCCACATGTTTTGTTAGTGGCAGATTTCAGGTCGGCTGTTGAAACTATGCTGCATGCACACGTTGTGCTCCCACTGATGGAGTTGTGTTTTTACAATAATGGACGGCAAGTTGAATGATTTCAGAAAATACGATCCTGTTCATGAGGCAGAATAATGGTGATGTATTATCACAGAGGGATGCTCCATTATTAGGGCTTGAAGTTCTCTTTCACTGTGCTGGATCTCCATAAATGTGATGTTTGGACTAATTTCGCAATTATTTGACAACAGTAGGCATACTGTGTCATATTCATAGTCTCAACCAAGACCTATTACATTATTTTATGGCTCTGACAGTGTTGCTTGAATGCAAAGAAGCAGCCATACATCAAAATGATCCAGAAAACACTGCTTTGTTCTGCAGTCTGATGACTGAAAAAAATGGATGTCACATCCTTTAGACTAAAGAAGAGAGGTACCTCCGACATGCATCACTGCCTCTGATGGAGGGCTGCGTTAGCGCCTATGGAACCGGCACGTTGGCAAGCCACCATCAGCGGCTTTTAAAGGAACAGATGCTGCCATACAGAAAACATCGTGTTCATGGACAGCCTTCCATATTCGATGATATCAACTGATATCACTAAATCCATACAGACATTAAGTTGTTTTCAGACAGTCAGGGGTCATTGCTTCCTAAAATAGCCGGTATTTTCCAGCTTGTTATCACCCCTAGTGGAGTGTTGGTGAGCACCCCTGCAGGTTACAGTGGAAGAATACATCATGAGTTAATTTTAGCAGCATCAGAGTTCACCACAGAGACATGAGCTCGTATAAAATCAACATGGCTGAAGTTACTTTAACCATGTAGCTAAGGATTCGTCTGCATGTCATATATGGTCGGGTTGTAGGAGTGGATCTAGTTGGTAGCTGTAATAGGTGACTTGTGCCTTGCTGTGTGAGAGGAATTCTTGGGATAAGTAGGAAAGGCGAGGGTACATGGTTCTGCTTTCAAAGGAAAAGGAGAATTCTGAAACAGAACGTGAGCTGCTGGTGTGTTTGAAATGAGAGCGCAGCAGCAGTTTATAAGATTGGCTGGTTCCGTGTATTCAGGTGGAAACAGAAGGAACTGTCACTGGGACGAGTTTTTAAAAAGCGCAGGTTCTTAATAGTGGATTGTTTCTTTCCTGCTCCTTTCCTGTAGCTGATGTTTCTGTGTTACAGCTAAAAGCTAATAATAATAATAGAGAGAGGTGGGGCCGGATACAATTTCTTCTACATTACATGGCAGCTCTGTAGAATGCAGCTTTTCAAAGCGCTCCCTGCTTGACGCCATCACGGACCTCACACAGCTGTGGGAGACTGGCTTATATAATCACATCCAATCAGGCACACTGTCAGGTCTGCACTGTACTCCTACTGTGTCCTGTCAGCTTCATACCTGTCTGATAGGTCGTCTGTCACCTCAGTTATGAGTTCAAGTCGCTTCGCTTTAGATTAATTTATTTCTTTGAAATGAGATCTGGATGAGTGGTTTAGTTTTCATGTAGGCAGAGTCTTTATCTCTTCTGCGAGGACCATACAGCGTCAGGTTTGTAGATATTATATGGGCTGTCTGATACAGGGGTTACATTTACTGCTGGTTGCCTTGAGTTGACGATGCTTTCAGCTTATGAAGTGTTTTCACATACAGAATGCAGTTTGGGTTTTGTTTTTTTTAATTGCTACGATATTTAACAAAAAATGTCAAAATGCTGACTGCATCTGTTACGAGTTGGCAGTAGCTGTTGAAAGGCTGACAAGGTTTGACTATCCTGTCGGCTTCATCCTGTGCCTTGCCAGATTTTTAAAGAAGAAAAGTACCTGAAGGAGGCTGTAGACTGCGGCGAGGTGATATGGCAGCGGGGCCTGCTCAGAAAAGGCTACGGTATTTGCCATGGAACCGCTGGCAACGGATACGCCTTCCTGTCTCTCTACAAACTCACCAAGGAGAAGAAATACCTGCACCGCGCCTGCAAGGTAAGACCGAGGGTAAACAAAACAAGATTCTCAGTAGTAGACTAAATATGCACAAGCAAGAAGTGGCTCTAAAGATGCCGTGGTTAAAACTGTTGTGGATTCATGCATGATATGATTTTTTCTGAATAATTTAAGCTGCCCTGTTTAACAGACATAACGTTGGTCATGGCATTAAATGTATGTTCGTATTGGACACCAGAGCACCGTGAAGCCTGTTGAGAGGAGACCTGTAATGTACAGTCTTCTTACTCGTGTTTCTAATCATATGACACAGCAGCTTTTCAATGTGTGTAGTTGTGGTAACCGTATACGCTTTGAAACACCAGTAACTGCAAATGTAAAAAAGTACACAGCAGGCAGCATGGTGGTATAATAGACTGTTAACAGCTGATCTGTGGCTAAGAGACGAGCTGCGTCTCCTTTCTGGAGGTTTTGGTTTCTTAAAAATAAGAGGGAACTGGGTGGCCTCAAGCTGACATGTTTTGCCTTAAAAGGAAATCTTGTGCCACTATCTTTGAAAAAACAAGTCCAAATTGAGTTTTTTTATTCCTGGTTTCTTATATTACGGCTCACTATATGTCATGATGTACTGGGGAACTACAGGACTCTTTAACAATGCCATGCAAATGTTACCATACAGATTTTTGGTCATACTGCACTGTCTTTGTCTCACGTGAGCTTTTTCTAACAGAGATCCAGCATGGGATTTATCATGTAGTCTTTCCACTCTTACCTAGCTTGGTTAGCTCAGTGCATCTGTCATTACTATAGCAACCAGACTGTAAACATGTTTGTTTGCACTGTGAAAGTTGGGCTTTTTGACATGTTTTTAAAGTGACTTGTTGACAACCAACTTAATGAGCCAATTTTATTACATGATTCATGTGTGCCCCTCACATTTGGCAGAAGGTTGAACACTGAAGACTTATAAAAGGAAGTCTATTTTGTTGTTTTTAAGAAAGAATGATGTTCACGTGTGCTCTGTTTTTATATTCTAACAGTTTGCTGAGTGGTGTTTGGACTACGGGACACATGGGTGTCGTATCCCAGACAGACCATACTCCCTTTTTGAAGGTACTTAATTCGTATTGATTTAACATTTCACATATCGTCTGTGTCATATTCGTCTGCATCTTCTTCTGTCTGTGTAGCAGCTACTCAGCTGTAATGGGTGAAATTTTCCTTACATTTCCACACATGTGTAATGTTACATCAGGAATGATGGAATATGACTTTATTTCAACCATTCACCCCTGTAGCACAGTGTGGAAGTGGTTAGCACTATGGCCTCATATCAAAAAGGTTCCTGTGTGGAGATGTGGTGCTTCTTCCTGTGCCTGCACAGGTGCTATAGATTCATCCCACAGTCCAAAGACAGTGGTTTTATTTGTGAATCTAAACTGCCCATGGATGAGAGGTAGATGAAGTGCTTAAAGTAGATAAAATAAATATAAAATAAATAATATAAAGTATATAAATAAAAATATAAATAAATTCAATATTATGAATTATGCTTAAATGTGACTTGTAATCTGAAGTGCTTTGCATAGTCAGTAAGAATAGAAAAGAATAAATGCAGTATATGAATAAAAGTTCCTCAGTAGATAAGCCTTTGTGTTTACCTAATAAACATTTTCTGTTGCTTGGAGGTCTGTAATTTAGTAGATGTCTGACACGTAGCCACATGCAGTTGGTTGGTTATTTGGTTGTGAAACAGTTATGATTAGATCACAACATCCACTCTAGGTACCAGGTGATGTACAGTATATGATGCTTCTCATTAAACTCTGTCTCATCGTGTGTTGCATGTTAAGCTTATTTCTACGAGCCTCTGGTCGATCAGAAGTTACTGTGATCTATTGCAGCGTGTTAGCACAGCTGCATTATAACAAAAGGTTTTAATCTGTTGGCTGTCTGTGGAGCTTTCAGAGGTCTGAAGGCAGAAGAGCACTCTTTTGCTCTCCAACCAAAAATAGGTGTAGAGGACACGGCTTTTTCAGTAACTTCAGCAGATTGCTTTTCACCTTTCACTTAAACAGCAAAAATGGCAATTTCAGCTCACTCTTCTTAGCAGAAGATTTTTAATTCAGCTACATCAGACGGTTTTCAAGCATGAACAGTATGTTTAAGGTCAAGTCAAAGCATCTCGACCTGATTTAAGTCACTTGATTGGTCACTTCAACTTGCTGGTGTGTTTTGGATTGCCGCATAAGTCGAGTGAGCTTGAGCTCAGGGGAACGGACTGATGGCCGGGCATTGCCCTTGTGGATTTTTGGTAGAGAGCAAAGAAGAGAAAAAGAGATAAAGAGAAGAAAAAAAAGAAAGAAAAGGAAAAAAAAAAAAAGGCATACGGTGAAATGTGTATCCAGCAGTAATGACTGTTTCTCCACTTAGGTATGGCAGGAGCCCTCCACTACATATCAGAGATGGAAAACCCCGAAGCTTCGTGTTTCCCTGCCTTTGAACTTTGACCTGACAGCCCCTGACTTTGGATTACGAAGGGGAGGCTTAATATTTTCAAGTTAACTTTCCTTTAAAAGTACGCTGCTCAAAAAAAAATGAGGGGAACGTTTAAATCACACATTGGATCTTGATAAATGAAATACTCACTCTGAAAATCTTTAGTGTCATAAATTTTGTAATTATCTTGAGAACAAAATGATCTACTAACAGTGAGAACCAATATCATCCACCCTTTAAGGGTTTGAATTTAGAAACCACACCAAAAATCCAAGTTAAAAATAGGCTCGTCTGACCTGCATCATAGTGTGGCTCAGCAGTATGTGTGGTCCCCATGACCCTACATGCGCTCTTAGCTGATGTCTTTAAATCTTGTTCTGGACTTGGATCAAGGCACCAGTAAACTTCTGGACAGTGTGTGGCACTGTTTGGTGGGTTTCGATGGACCAGTGCATAATTTTCCTGAGAATCTTCATATCTTCATAACTGGCGTCAGTGCCTTCATCATCCAGGAACTGCCTTCATTCTCGCCAGCGGAGGACAGACATTGTTGTGCACCAAGAGGATCCCAGGGCTTGCTCCAGCATGAAGTCTGACATTAGATATGTGGATTTCATCCTGATACCAAACATGCAGGTCTGTTTCACTATTTCCCATGTGAACATGCTGTCATCATAGGGCACTAGTGTGAGACCTCCCAGTTTCGGTGGTATCTGAGAAAAATCAGTCATGAGGATTAAGAGGAGAGCATTGGTCTGTGGCTGCAACCTGCAAAACCATTCCCATTTGGGAGTTGTCTTCTTGTTGCTTTTCCATTGTTGCCACATTCATGGCACCAAAACAGGTGAAATTAGTTGACCATAGTTTATGCTTCCAAGAATCCTTGAAGCTTAATTGACTGTTTTATTCTGAGATCATAAAGTGTTCCCCTAATTTTTTGAGCAGTGTATTTTGATAAAACTTTCAGCCTTGGTCATGCGTAAGTAGTGACCAATATTAGACATTCAAACTGGAAATAAGTGCAACTGATTAATTATTTGTTGGATTAAAGACATGGTTAGCTTTTCTGTGATTAAAAATGTACAGAGAATGTTTTTGGACAAAACTACACATTCATTTATGGAGGTGTAGTAAAAATAAAAGAAGCAGTAGATCGATGGAGCGCGACCATCGTATTGCCTCTTTTTCTCTTGCTGAAGATAGACACTGGATCTGATGTTGGAACGCTGTCAGAACTCGCCTATAATGTGCTGAGAAAAAGACATGGACCTCATGGCTCCCCATCAACACATTATTGCCAGCTGGGCTTGGTCACAGGAGCACATTCTAAGCACTCAGCCTTTAATATTGTAGCACTTAGGCCAAGAGAGCAAGTGTGGGTGTGTGTGTATGTGTGAAGATGTGCATCTCTGTCAAATGAACTAAAGCTGTTGTGGCATGCTCACTGTTATTGGCTTTTGGTGCCTCATTGTGTGTCAGTGTAGTAGTTATTCTTCCTGTATTTAGGTGTGCTGTTTCAGTTCTTCATGTGTTGATCGCATAGTAGGCAACATGTTTCTTTGCCCTCTTTTATTTTATTAACAAGTATAAAGTAGCTCCGTGCTCTCAAGCTGACCGTCAGCTGTAAAGTCTGTCTGCAGCTTTTCTGTTATAAAAATACATGTTCCAATTATTGCAGTGATTCACAGTTTTAGTGTCAACTTTGCAATAGATGTCATAACATGTACTGTATATTTCGGCAATACTGGGCTTTGACTAATTTCGATCTTTTTAAAGGCTGAATAATTGCCTAGCATACATCTCAAAGAGGGAAAAAACATGAGCCAAGTGCAAAACTGAATCAATTTGGTTTTTGTGAAATAAAAACAGGGTCAAACTTGTATGTACTGGCTCGAAAATGTTCAAACATCTGCTTGGATTATTCAGCCCAGTGCTAATGAAAGTGTCAAAACCTCTTCAATTCCTCTTAGCGACTGGCTGTATGTGGTTTCTTCTTTTTGTCTGGTTTTGTTTGACACCACTGAACAACTTAGTAGTCTGTGTTCAGGAAAAAGTGTATTTCGGATCTGAGTTATACAAGTCAGGTATATTTATTAAAGAACTATAGATTCAAAAATCAGCTCAAACAATTGGACTACATCACATCCACTTTGCTATGGTCTTAAAAACCTTTCTTTTCTTTTTTTTTTTAGCATTTTGAACCAATTGCGGATGAAAATTACTTCTTCATTTATACAAGAAAAAATGATTTGCAGTTCCTGGTCACAATTCTTTCAGCACTGGTTTCATTTTGGTAATGTTGGAAGAAGCATGACTATAAGGTTCAAATGGTTGAAAGTTGAACAACATATAATTCAGTCCATCTTCTTCTGCTGATCCAGGGTTGTGCTAAAGCAGAGAAGCCCAGACCTCCCTCTCCCCGGCCACCTCCTCCAACTTGTTGGGGGAACACCAAGGCGCTCTCAGGCCAGCTGAGAGATATAATCTCTCCAGGGTGTCCTGGGTCTGTCCTGGGGCCTCCTCCCGGTGGCACATGCCCAGAACACCTCACCTAGGAGGCGCCCTGGAGGCATCCTTGTCAGATGCCCGAATCACCTCAACTGGCTCCTTTTGATGTGGAGGTGCAGCGGCTCTACTCTGAATCCCTCCCAAATGGCCGTACTTCTCAACCTATCTCTAAGGGAGAGGTCAGCTACCCTTCAGAGAAACCTCGTTTCCGCCACTTGTAACGCGTTCTTGTTCTTTTGGTCACTATCTACAGCTCCTGGCCGTAGGTGAAGGTAGAGACGTAGACCAACCGGTAAATCGAGGGCTTCACTTTTACACTCAACTCTCTCTTCACCACAACGGACCGGTGCGCCGTCTGCATCACTGCAACCGCAGCTCCAATCCGTCTGTCGATCTCCCGCTCCCTTCCCGTCACTTGTGAACAAGACCCACGAGATAGTTAAACTCCTCCACTTGGGATAAGAACTCATCCCTGACCTGGAGTGGGCACTCCACCCTTTTCCAGCTGAGGACACATGGCCTCAGATTTGGAGGTGCTGATTCTCATTCCCACTGCTTCACAGCTGCAAACCATTCAAGTGCTATCTGGAGGCCATCACCCGATGAAGCCAACAGAGCCACATAATCTGCGAAAAGCAGAAATGAGATTCTGAGACCACCCAAGTGAAAGCCTTTCGCCACTTGGCTACTCCTAGAAATTCTGTCCATAAAAATTATGAACAGAATCGTTGACAAAAGGCAGCCCTGGCGGAGTCCATCACCCACCAGAACCAAGTCCGAATTATTGCTCGCTATGCAGACCAAGCAGCAGTTGTATAAGGCTCAAATGGCCCGTAGGAGTGGGCCAGACTCCCCATACTCCCAAAGCACCTCCCACAGGACACTCTGAGGGACACGGTTGAGTGCCTTCTCCAGGTCATCAAAACACATGTAGACTGGTTGGGCAAACTCCCATGAACCCTCAAGTGTCCTCTAGAGGGCAAAGAGCTGGTCCAGTGAACCACTACTTTATCGTGGTGGAGGGGTGTGTCCCAGGGATCCTAGGGGCTATGTTGTCGGGGGGCTTTTGCTCCCTGGTAGGGTCTCGCATAACATATTGGTCCTGGGTGAAGGACCAGACAAAGAGCGATTCAGAATACCCCTATAAGTATAAAATCAAGGGAACAGTTCACCCTGCCCGGGATAGGGTTGGTGTTGGTGTGTCTATGGCGTTATTTTTGTGCCACTATTCTGAGCGCACGTAAAAAAAAAATATTGTAGGTGCAAGTGTTGCACTTTGAGGAGAAATTTATTTTGAGCGAAGAAAAGAAAAATTTGAACAAAATTCATTGCTGCATGCAAAAACTGTATTTCAGTGTTTGCTATTATCCACACACACACACACACACACACACACACACACACACACACACACACACACACACACACAATAGCAGCCCCTCTCGCTCTGGTTTTGCATTTGCGCTTGCTGTTGCTCGCGCTCTCAACATTTCTGCCCGTGCGCGCTCAACTCTTTCTCTACGCTGGTTTTGTGGCACAATCTGATTGGCTGTTCTGGTCTCCATTTCGGAATCCATTTCGTCCAAAACTCAAACGAGGCAGTGGCGGAGGAACACAGAGTGGCGGAGTTTGAAATATTATTCTTTCTGGGTCACAAAACAAACTTTTAAGATATTTTCATGCCAGAATGGTGCTGTGTAAACTTCAAATATCTGCTCGATTTATCAAGACATCACATATTTGCATATTTGCAGGAGTAAGGCATGAGACTTAAACCCTCTAGTAAACAATCTACAGTGCATCCGGGAAGTATTTACTTTGTCCACATTTTGTGATTTGATAGCCTTATTCCAAAATTAATTCAGTTCATTTTTTACCTCAGGTTTACACACAATAACCCATATTGACAAATGAAAAAAGTTTTCTTGAAATTCTTGCAAATGTATTTAAAATAAAAAACTAAAATTTAACATAACTTTTCACAACATTTGCCATGACACTCAGAACTGAGCTCAGGTACATCCTGTTTCCTCTGATCATCTCTCAGATGGTATGGTATGTCATGTTACAGAATAAGGCTGTAACATGACAAAATGTGGAACAAGTGAAGTGCCGTGAACACTTTCCCAATGCACTGTAGGTGCTGCAGTTCTGAAGTACAACGAGAGAGAGAAGGGTGTGGCTTGCCCTGAGGTGTTCCTATGGGACAACAAGAACAAAGACTGCAGGGGGGAAAAAGTCGTCATTCAAGCAACAAAGTTGTTAAGTACCAGTAAAGTGTGGTGATCATAATAATAATGGAGTGGATTTCTATAGCGCTTTTCAAGGCACCCAAAGCGCTTTAAAATACCACTATTCATTCAGTCTCACATTCATACACTGGTGGAGGCAGCTACAGTTGTAGCCACAGCTCCCTGGGGCAGACTGATAGAAGCGAGGCTGCCATATCGCGCCATCGGCCCCTCTGGCCAACACCAGTAGGCGGTAGGGTAAAGTGTCTTGCCCAAGGACACAACGACCTGGACAGAGAGCCCAGGGATCGAACCGGTGACCTTCCAGTTACAGATGCGCTTCCCAACCCCCTGAGCCACGGTCGCCCCACAATCTGTGACCACTGATGTGGGTCAATCAGACCCACATCAGTGGTCTGATTGAGGAATGTCAGGAACCCAGGCTGAGGTGGTTTATATTTGTACGTTTTATAAAAACAGCAGAATTATGAAATTGAAACATGAATACCCGCACAATCACTAAACATCCAAGAAGTTGAATATATGGGTCCGTAGTGATTCCCAGTGTATTAAAAATCTTTCATTACAACTTGATCTACATCATGTCACAAAAGTAGAAAACAAAACGTTGCACATCAAGTGTTGAGATCAGACTGAGGCCTGCATCTCCCAGCCCACAAATCAGTGAATATGTGTACTTAAAAATGAACATTGGAAATTAATATTTTTTTAAATATATCTGGATAAAAGTGATGTAGATCTCTAACTTTGTCTCTAAAGTCCTTAACGAGCTCAGGTTTTTTGTTTTCCTCACCGTTCTTTAAGTCTCGGGCTGTGTGGTACCAACATGGAGTTACACTGATACTTTTTTGACAAATTGACAAATTTTTTCATTTGTCAATATGGGTTATTGTGTGTAAACCTGAGGTAAAAAATGAACTGAATTAATTTTGGAATAAGGCATCCAGTGATCCCGACAGCACATGAATGCACATAAAATGCCTCATTTTTCGCAGAGATCTGTAAATGAATGTCATTGCATAAAAATCTGACTTGTAACAATGTTTGTGTTGATGTGTCAGTGTGTGTCTGCACTCACTGGCTCCTATGTCTAGGCTCATTATGTGTGTGCTGAAGACTGGACATTGAAAGAGACAAAGTTTTAGACACGTGTTTGTGATTTATTTGCCCTCGTTCTAATTAGTGTTCATATGAGTGTCTGTGTTTATTTTTCCTCATTAAACTCCTGGACTTCAGTGACTTAGCAGCAAGTCAAATGTCTTAAATGTTTTAATCTGCTTAAAGTTATTGCTTACAAAGTGACAGAATTGTCTGTGATTTTGTTTAAAATAAAGCTGAATAGAGCTTGTGTACCTCCTTTTTAAAATTTTCCTTGTTTTTTTTTACACATTTAGTCATATATATGTATATATATTTTGGATCTGATAAAGGGAGAAATTTACATTACACTTTAGCTAGTAATGACTTCATGAACTTTTTCACGAATAATTTTTAACCATTAGAGAAAAAAATGCTCAATCATCTCACAGATGTAACATTATCTACAGCTACTTTCAGTACCATTGATATTCATTTTTTCTTTTGTCTTTTTCTCCAATTGATCTTTCTGAGTTAACTTCAGTAATTCCTCCAAACCATCAACGTGTCTTTTAGACCCCGTTCCTGCAAGAATGCTCAAAGAAGTCCTGCCATTAATTAATGATTCAATCTTAAATATGATCAACCTGTCTCTAATAATCGGCTATGTACCACAGGCCTGTGCTAATGCTCAAATGTAGAGTCTGACACAACACAAAGATGTGTGTCACATGTGTTGGCAACCTTATAATACACTACTTATAAAGGCACCAGGAGAGTGGCCTACAGCTGAGAGCATTTCCTGTGGAGGGTAGGAAATGTAGGGAAAACCCTA